TAAGCTTTATTGACATCAATTATTGACAAAAGCTTCTCCCTAAGGAGGATTTTAACGGAGTTGGCTACAGCACAGAAAAATATTTTTAAATTATTACAATATTTTTTTTTTTTTGTAAGGTAGCTATGTAAGGCCTAAGAAAAACAAAGCCATACAGTAAACAGAACAGTCTCGGAAGTAAGGGATTAATAAAAAGACAAACAAAGCATAATAAAATAAAACACAGCAACTAAATATTGTTTATTACTTGTTTCCATCTGTATGTATTCCTAACCACAAGCCAATAGTTTTCGCCTACACGTTGTATCATTTTATCCCGCCATCTCAGATGCGGCCGGCTTCTTTTTCTCTTGTTGAATGAATAAAATATGTAAACTAAAATCAATTTAAAATATGTGGTGCGGTGTGCGCATCACACAACTTTCACTTACCAACACTAGTAGTCCATGGTACAGACCCCATTTTATGAAATTAATAACATCCGGCTGAAACTTTGTAAATAACTTCATATTATGCTAACCTACAAATATTTTATTTACCGAAATTCTCGGAATTGGAGCGTTTTTATTCTGGAGGTCGGCAAACATTGTCTAGTTAATTAGGTAATAAAAACTCGTAAATACTCATTAGCTTTCCACTTGGATTGTAAGATAATATGATCACAAAATCGTTAAAAAGCTGGCCTACAAACATATTGGACCGTTCGTCCAATATAACCTCGTTATTTTGAGAATTCGGGGTATAGGTCACGCCTAACGGCTCAATATTTTGTATGGCAACCTTCTTTTCCGACTTTGTGCTCAAGTTATCTTACGATTGCAGTGGAAAGCAAATGGGTGATTACGAGTTTTTAGAATTTAATTGAATAAACAAAGTTTGCCGACCCCAGATCGAAAACTTCCCGATTCCGAGTATTTTGGTAAATAAATTATTTGTAGGCCATGATGAGATGATTCTATTTACGAAGTTTAAGACGGACGTTAATAATTTGATGAAAAGTGGTATGCTCCACGGACTATAGAGTAGGTAGGTATTTTCATATGTAGAAAAGTCAAAGTGAAAATATTATGTCAAATTTATACGTTTGCATCACTTTCCATTTCATTTTACGATTTTACGACTATGTATTGTACCAAACAATATTAATGATTGTGAGGAAAAATAGATATTTTGGACTAATTATGACTTTTGTCGGAAAAATTTATCACTAAACTCATCGAAAAAATAAATCAATACTAGTTAGTATATATTATTAGATTTATATTAGTAGATTCTCAGTATTTCGCGAGAAAACGTATTTAGAAAGTTATGGATAAGCGATATATAAAAGTTAAACTAACAAATATGAAAGACCTCTTCAAAGAAGTATCGGGTATCTATAAAGGGAGAAGGTCCCAAAATCAGTCTTGTTCAAGACCAACACCAAGACCGCCTAATTGTTCCAAGACCAAGACTAAGAATTGAAACTTAAAAAAAAAACACTTTGTTTATAAAAATAGTTACTAATACTAGACAATTTTAGTTACTATATGTAAAGAATTGGTAGAACTAATATACTTTTGCATTTAACTCTTCCAATTTTTCATTCGGGGATTAGTTAGGTTTCCACATTCTAAAAAATATCTCTATGTAGTGGTAACATTTTTTAAAAGGTTATTAAATTTCAGAATGAATTATAAAAAAAATCTTCCAGTTTTAGCAACGTTACAGAATATTGAATTTTATACATTTGTTTTTATAATTGATCACTTGCTCGTTTATATTTCTGTAGTTCATCAAAGAAATCGAGCTCTAATGATTTTTCTTATATGTTATCAGAAAAATTAGTCTAATTCAATTGTGTTTTGGTTTTTAATGGAATTTTTTTAAATTTAAGAAATACTAAAAATCGGTAGAAAAGTCATGTCAGTGCACCAGATTTTTTATTTAAATAACTGGTAAAATTGTATACTACAACTCTTTAATTCCAAGGTGGGATCTATCACTATCGTTCTTGACAATGCTTTTAATGTATGTTAACTTTATTATTTTTTTAATAAATTAACGATTGGACATAACTATGTATCTGTCAATAAAGCATCTAAATGCAGCTATTCTGTAGCGTTTTTCTAAGATCTAAAGTGATATGTTTAATAAATAGCCATAAGTTAACAGATAAACTGCAAGAATTGCGCAAGACCAAGACTCATCTTTTGGCATTTGGTTATCACTAATTCTACATATAGTTTGGTATTATGTTGTTAATTTTGCAATAATTATGTTGATTGTCAGTTATAATTTTCATACATATTATAACCCTCCGAGATATATTTTTGGAGGAAGGGAGTCCATCAACCAGCTCCCCTCTCCCAACCAGAATAAAATGTCTGCGCCCATGACCTCAGGAGCGATGAATTATCGAACGAAAAGGAATTTCATGGAAAAGTGACAAATCCCAAATTCAATCCTTAAATTCCTTCAACAACTCCAATAAAAGTCATTGCCGTAATTGTTTTGCTACATGGAATAAATATAGCAGCCTTGCAATTTTATTCTAGTTATTTTAGTTCCCTTTTGTGCTGCTTTGAAGATGGAAACCGTTAACCTTTTAAAAAGAAGAAAAAAAATTTTAAAAACATATTTATTTTTTCTGGTTCTAGAACCGTAAACATTTGAGTGTGGAAAAGGAGCTCTGTTCCTTCCATCTCACCTTTCTCCTACCATTTTGATCTGGTTTCATTCTTACATTTTGTTTATGTTCAGGCATATGACCAGGATTTTACTTCGGAAAGGGATAATAATTTCACACATGCTTTGTAATCCACAGTATTTATATTTAACTCTATAATTGTTTTTACTCAATTTCTTAATTAATGATTCTTTTTTATCTCATGTACAAATATGGTAAAAGTTTATTATGTTAAATTAAAAAATATTTCCAGAGAGGATGAGGTTTGGCTGAAGTACCTTATGCTCTGCTGACCTCGCTATGTGCTTGTTTGAGTTGCCATTGATTTGGAAAGGGTTGCACCTGATTTGATAAAGGTCTCGTTAGATTTGGAAAAGGTTGCATTTGACTTGGCTAAGGTTATACCTGACTTGACACAGGTATTCACAGAATTTGAATAGCTTTAGCAACTGACCAAATACTGCTACTGCCTAGGAAAAATAGTTTTATAGAACTAAAATTTCGCTTTTACATAATTTTTAAAGCCGAAATGTATATTTTTAGGTCACCTATTATTACGCACACATTTAGTTGGACCATTCTTTATTTTTTTTTCCTTTATGAGAATTTATTAGGATTATTTACTAATTTTTATTCTAATATAATTAAATAATTAAGAATAAAAAAGCTAAAATTTAAAGATTTGATTTTTTAAAACTCAATCTTATTTATTAACTAAAATTGAAAAAAAGAAAACTTATTATTATCAATGATGTTAACATCCGTCAGATATTATTTACTGTTACATCTGGGATGCGCTAACTTCATATGTAACCCGTAAACAGGCTGGTTTTCATGTAAAAGATTATTTATAAATATAGATTTGTTTAAATAATTAATTAAACTAGATCGACAGGATCAAAATGGATATGTTTTGTTCGAAAGGAAGCAGCTATCTTTCGAACCTAGAAAAAAAAATTATAATTAACTAATTTCTAAAAATTGATCGAAAGCTACAAGTATGTTTTTATCATTTCATACATATTGGCATAAAATAATGATGAAAAAAATCACGCATTATTTAATTATTAATTATAAATTACATGAAAAAATATTAGTTTGCCCTCCTTACCTTATAGTTTTTTCTTAAACATGAGACAATAAGCCAGGGAAGGTTTGTTTCCTTTTTTTATTCTAATTTATTTTTTTTATGATTATTGTTAGAAGCAGAATAATATCTGATGATTTCTAATGATAGCAACTGTAATAAAATATTGCATACATTTAAAATTAGTTTCGATATTGAAACAGATTAAGTAATACTGCCAGTAAATCATTACAAACCTGTTATATAAACCGATATTTTCGCCTGGGCATTTTGTAATCGCTTGTGCTGGAGAATGTCGATACTCAATCTATCATCGTAATTGTCAAAAGAAAAAAAAAAAAAAAAAAAAAAAACATTTGATCACCTGATAGAAGTAAAAACATCAACAAGGCGGGATTAATAATATGAAATATAAATTATAAATAATAGATCCCACCATGAAGAGGATGAAATGCTGAACCTTTCTCTTGCTTAAAGTATACAGGTTTGATTCCGCCTCTCTAACACTGCATCGCTTTAAGATACAATTTTGAATAATACCTCATTACAAAAACTGGGAGCGGAGAGGCCTGGCGGACAAACGCGTGTGCACAGCACCGCTGTTGTCAGGCAACCGGATAGAAGACAAATTGATAGAAATAATTACAAGTTCGCTTCCCGGTGCCGGGTATCGGAGGGGGGGACTTTTAACTCTGGCATTAATCAAGTTGCGTTGCTGGCATTCCTCGATATCGTTCGCAAACAATGACTGTTCAATTCTATAATCGTTCGTAGAAAAGACATTTGATTGTGTCGATAGAGCTTTTGATTATAAACTTAGGATTGTGCGCAGTCATTCTTAGTTGAAGTAAATTAAAAAAAACAATAAACAGTTTTACCTTTAAAAAGACACAACTATTACAGTTTCTTTTCAAACCAAACCGATCCAAACTATTGACACAGGTTTATTAAACTATTAAAACAGATCTTGAAATGATAATTGCAACGCCTGCCAATGATTAAAAGGACTATTTTAACATTTTAATCACTATCTTCTCTTGATATTTGAAAGTATTAAGGAGTTGATAAAACTGAATATGAAAGGTATATAATAAAGAATAACAAGAAATGTTTTCACATATTTATATTTGACTAAAACATTGGTAAAAGCTTTAAATTAACTTCTCGACGAACATTCACGCTAACATATTTTTATGACGTACACTCCAATATACACAGCCTATGTACAACACTCCACTCTCAGCATCACTTCCACTTGACCTCGCTAGGCCTGCGATGGTGGTAGACCTTCCGGTAGGACAGGAGAGCCGCAAGAGCCCGGATGGCAGCCCTCAACGGCGAGACAGGCTTGGCCTTGCTGGCCACCGCGGCGAACGCTAGGGGTATCCCTCCCCTGTCCATCGCCGAAGAGGAAGCGGACACCTCCAGATAGGAGCACCCAGCTACCACCGAGAGTTCCAGGGCAGCTCGCAGGGAGACACTTCTGTGGAATGAGGAATAATTTATTTTTCTAAGACATATAAAGAAAGTAATTTAATTATATGGTACTGTTATTTTATTACAATTAATTAGATTCATTTCTATTTCTTCCAACGTTCGATAAGACTACAAACAAGGTGTCCCGTAAGTAGATGGGAAATATTTATTGGAGTAACAGCAGACCTCGAGAGCTAACAAAAACTTATATAAAGTTTTGGTCCGATTTTCGGCAGAAAAGTGGGAAATGTATGTAATTAACTATTGCTTCACTGTAAATTAGACAAAAGTTGCTTCAAATTGAAATATTCAAAGATTTTATCATTTTAAAATCAATTTAAAGAGAACTTTTTAGCAGCCTTAAGATAAGTTCTTTCTAAAAAAAAATCATTAATAATTTGCAATTTTATCATCCTCCAATTATACTACAGATAACCCACTTTTAGAAAAAAAAAACTTCCTCGTTTAGTAAGTTCTAAGTCCATATTAATTAATTTGAGGTTAATTATGGAAAATATTTTGATTCACCTCGAGAATCATTGATTCACCTTGAGTTCTGTAAAAAAAAAAAACTTGTTTTTAGCAAAAATTACTACAATAAATTATTGCAAATCTTTTTTTTTTTTTTGTCATGATCTAGTATGCATTATGATAAACATGATTGCGTAACTACACTTTTTATTTATAAAAAAAAATGTTAAAAATCGTGATTTTTCGATTAATTATCTTCTAAAATGATAATATTCTAAAGTTTAAAACCTTTGAGGTAGTTTCCATTTACAAGCATGAGGATAAATTACAAGCCAAAACTGAGAAAAAAATGGCTTTATAACGACCAACCCTCCTAATATGAATTTAATTATTATAGAAAGAGAGAAATTAGTTTGGGCTAAGAACGTTTAAATTTAATTTCTGGTGTATCTCCTGCTTTCTATGATGAGTTGACTGATTCCATCCGTTCGAAATAAGAAGTTTGATGATATCACTCGCTGATCATCAGTTTGAGTCAAGTGTTTCACGAGCTGTATGAGTGAATTGTATAATACGTTGTGTTTTTTCAGTCCAGCATGGAGGATTTAAAGGAGATAAGGTATAAAACTAATAATATTCTCTTATTATATAAGTTTGGAAGTACCATACTGTAATATACTTTGCCTTTCTGGATAAAGAAAAAATAAAAGAATAAACAATCATACATATACATATATATTTATACTACATATCAGATAGAAAATATAGTTTCTAGCGGTGTTTTTTAAATTAATTGTATTTCTTTTATTAAAAAATATTTTTTTTATTAATTAAAAAAATCAAATATTATTTTTTATACATTTTTTTTTCTTTTTACTAGAAATCACATTCCAGCACTGATGTACAGTAAATATATTTGAACCATAAAGGTGTGATTTATTCCTCTCATAAATATTGATCACTTTATCAAAGTAACGGTATTTTTAGATCTGTATACTTAAAAAGGGTAAACAACAATATCGGACAAAAGACATTTAAAAAATATTTTATCAGCAAGGAATAATATGCTAATAAAAATAAAATCATTACTGGACATAATAAATAATTATAATAATAAATAAATAAAATTTTTGGGAAATGTATACATCATAAAAACATAAAAATGGTAATTATATCCAGTAATAATAAAATCTGTAATAATGGTTAACGAAAAATCATTTAGTTAGTGAAAAGAGGGTTTTGATTAAGTATAAAGAAGAAGCGATGTAATTCTATTTATTTTTTTTTTTTTTTAGTACAATATCTTAGAAATATATTTATCGATTAGAATATTCCTATTACATTCAAAGTCTGTGTTTGCATTCAATTACTACATTGCACTAAAAAAAAAAAAAAAGAATTACATCCCTTCTTCCTTATACTTAATCGAAACCCTCTTTTCACTAACTAAATGATTTTTCGCCATATAAACCATTATTACATTACAGATTTTATTATTAATGGGTGTAATTATTCAATTCAACTTTAGTGATGAAATAATTTGCTTTTTACGGTTCTGAAAACTATTTAAAGTTTTTTTAAGTTATGAATTATTAACTATATGAAGATTGAACACTTTGTAGGTTAAATAATTTTTTTTTTTTTATCATCGGTACTATTTACTGATGAAGACGAAAGAAACCGATTCAGTCACTAAACTATTTCGTTTACTTGGAAACCATTGAAAATAGATTTTTTTTTTTTTTTTCTCTTCTACAGAAGACAAATGTGGTCAAGGCTCTTTATAATCAGCGTATCCGACACGAAGATAGCGCTGTAAACTAATATTATTTATTTTTTCAGGACAGGTGTTATTGTCAATTAGAAACGGTTCTTTTTAAATTAATAAAAAAAAATGTTCTCGGTTGAATTGTATGGTTATGACGGTTTTACATTTTCTATTTGGACTCGATTCACGTTGCATAAGACACGATATTAATAAAAACCTATGTCAACATATCGATCAACAATGTCGAAATTAACTTTGTTGATTGATTAACTTCAGTTGTTGCATGAAACAATTTAACTAAGTATTGAAAATGTGTAATCTTATTCTACTGGAATCAAGATTACAATTAAGTAAATACAAAATGCACACCGGAATGATTTTAATTTAAAAAAAAAAATTATTGAGTCATGTTACAATTGTTTTTTCCTTATAACTATAAAATTTACCCTTGCACTCTGAGCCTGACCATCGATGCAATGTAATAAATATATTTGTGTTTGTATTCATATTTAGCAAAATGTGTATTTTATCGATCCATGGCCCAATGGCCGCTTTCAGAAGATATTTTTATATGTACATTAAATGATATTATTTTATTTTAGTTTTTATATCTTTGTATTTTTGGTTAGTAATTTTCTACTATTTAGAAATATCCTCGCAATAGAATTTAATTCTTCATTCGTTTTCATTTTTGTTGCTATTTATATATTCAGACTATTGCCAACACTACAAATTCACTCCTCTTATATGTTCTAATTCATTCTATTCTGCTTTTTCTTTTATTTATGCAATATTTTTTTTATTGGAGGCCTATGGTTTCAAAACCGATTATATCCATTTTATAAAAAAAAAATTCAGGTCCTATAAAAAATAATTAATTTAAAAAAAATTAATTTCACATTATTTTTTTTTCGTTATTTTGGTAACAAACCACTTGAAACAAAAATTGTTTATGATCTATTTTTATCAAATGCCATTTAATATAAAAAAAAATATGTTAGATGAATCTTGATTTCTGAAAAAATAAAAATTAAAAACAATTAACTTGTATTAATTTTAACAAGATATACACACAATTTTAATTATTTATATCATGCTTGTCATCTTGGACAAATGGCATTGTATAGTCTGTGATCTCTTTGTGGAATTCCAGATTATCTAATGGTATCCAGTCTTCACTATTTCTGGCATTAAAAACTTGAAAAATAAAAAAAAATATATATATATATATATTTTTTTTAAATGGTTGTAAACTGTTTTGAAACCAAATGCTTCATTTATTTGACATAAACTCACATATATTTTTAAAATTTCTTTATTGGATTTGAATCAATTTTATCATTATTAAAGACAATCATAATACTGATATAGGAGTTCATTTACTCCAGATCATTTATTATCTTCATTAAATAAACATAAATTAAATGGGATAACAGAAAAGTAAGAATACTAAAAATAAATGTATACACATATAAACAAAAAGAACCTTAAACTAATCACAATAACAAATTAAATACAGACATAGTTATATACGATGTTCGCCTTCGAATTGTCGATTCAATCTTCGAGAAGGATTGTACGGATGGGTGTAGCTAGGTAAGGATTGGGCAAGGGGATTTGGAAACTTTAATTAAAAAAGTAATCCATACAGATAAGTATCTCATATTGTTTCGTATGGAGTAATTACATCTTGTAAATTAACTTTACAGCCTGTGTTATAAATCAAGATAAGATATGCAGACAACATAATAAAATTAAATATATATATAATGTTACAGAAGTTTAACATTGGGACGAAAGCAGAAAATATATATGCTCATTTTTATATATATTTTCTGGGCTCATTTTTTATATATTTTCTCATATGTTTATATATTTTTTATATATTAGTTTCAATATTAAACTTCTGTAACATTTGTAGTATCATAACTATTTTATAATTTAAATTGCTCTATAAAACTGGGGTCCCAATACTGCCCATACTTTCGCTTTCAAAGCCTCCTTCTGACACTTCTTTCAAACAGCTCGATCGATGTCCCCTCTCAATCTTTTTTTCTTCCCTTTCACACTGCCCAGTTTCATATATATAGAGAGGAAACGCTTAACAATAGCCAAAATAATATCTAACTATAAATTGATTTATTATAAACCCAAAAGTAATATAATTTAAATATGTGTAACTTCAATAATGTAGTAATCATAATTTTTTTTTTACATGTTTATCTACTAATGATTATATTTTACTCAGTTCCTGACAATTTTTAACAGTCAGGATCATGAACAAGGTAATCTGTTCCTTTTTTTTTTTTTTCATTATTGTTCGAAACAAAATTTTCCTTTTAAATTATCACTAGAAATACTGAATATAGTTTCGACATATAAATGCATGGCAGCATTGCCCTGTTTTACTTTACTAAGAAACTTGCTTCATGTTCAAGCCATGCTGAAATTATGATAATGTTTTGGGCTGGAACACGCTGAAGAGCTTTGGAAATAGCTGATGGCTATCGAATCATTAAGTGATATTTAGTCGTGATCAGCGAAAGTTGAGGTCCCCGTCCACACGACGTCTTTCCTCTCACGGTAATGTTTGACGGTCCTTAAATATGTCTTATTTGTAAATACGTGTTCAACTTCTAATCATAAAAGAAAATTTACAGCTAAGACAAGTTTCAAAATTTTTATTTTCTGTTAAAAAACGTAAAAAAAAAAAAGTATAATTATATATGATGTCTTCAAGGAATAGATAAGCCCTTATATATTTTGTATTCTACTTCAAATGACTTTTCGAACTGATTAGCTCATTCTGAAGTCATCTACAAATTACAATTAACAAACATAATTTACAACAATGATCGCTCACTTTCTAGTCATATAAAAAGTGAGAACTTCCTAACAATTTTTATTTAAGACAATATATTTCTATATTATAATTTCATTAAACATTCATTTGTGGTACACCAAATACGAATATATAAATACTCCTCGTTTCATTTTTTGTACATTTATTAATGCTTGCCATCTACAATAAAAATATGTGTATCCGATTATTTCAGAACATATACTATTTCTACTTTGTTTTATTTAAAATGTATGCTCACTCCGAAAACTCGGTACTACCTACTCAAAATCTATTGTTTAACACTGACTGCACATTTGAGCTCTTTAGGGATGTATGTCCCTGTGGGAATTAATTAAATAAATAATTGAATATATGTGTTGCTTAACCTGTACACAAGCCTTAAAACCTGTTAATCGTAGAGCAAAAGAAATCGCCTCAAACAGGAAGTGCAGGACTTTCAAGTAATGTCGGAGTGCAGAAACTTATAATTAACAAAATTAATTTTACTTCTCTTTTCTCGTAATTATATATACATTATTTGGACAAATTCTTTATTCGTCATTCGTAAATAATCTTCGATAAAACGATGTATATTTCGGGAGTATTACTGTAATGTAAGTTCGCATGTTTATATATATATATATATATATATATATATATATATATATTATATATATATATATATATATATATATATATATATATATATATATATATATATATATATACACGCAATGAATTCGAAAACAAAAAAAAATATAATTCAGAAACTAAATTTCATGTAAATCATAAAAAGACTTTTCCTTAATATGTGAATTTAACGCTTAATTTGTATAAAAATTAAAGATTTTTAAATCATAATAAAGCAAATCCTTTCTGTGCCAGTTGTGCGACAGTTGAAATTTCTTGAAGAAATATTTAAAATATTTTGCTTTAAGTTAGTATTGTATTTAATGCAATACCTTTTAGCACGTAGGGATTATATTATTAATTTACATGTTAGGACGTAAACAATCATTTATTATTTTCTCCATTATTTTCTGAAGATTTCTCCATTTTCAATCCTACATGGTTATTCAGCGTTTGTGTTTTTCCATTATATTGGTTTTAACATCTTTAATTACCGGCGAATATTCTCACCACGTTAGATTATTTAACAAATCGCTTTCTTCGCTTAAGATGGTTTTAATTATATATTTTCTTACCCATATGGTAAATCATACCAGATAATTTATTGTATATCCTAAATCTTTTGAAAGATAATTAAATAATCAACAAAACGTATTAAATTAATTAATAAATTAAATTACAAAAAATCATCGGAATCATCAGTAATAGGCTATGATAGCCTGTTTTTTCAAAGGTATTGAAATTCCCCACAAAACTATATAAAAATCGTTCATTTCGGACAACTATTAACGAAGTTACAGCTATTCAATTTTCAATGTAAGATTACTGGTACATATCCTGGTGTCAGAAAGGGATAAATGAAAGAAAAAAGATAAGTAAGTGAAAATACGAAAATTTGCTGCCCACATCACACGAGCTTCACTATTTCCTCTACCTTTAACAGAAATTATTGTTTGACAAAATTAGGCTATGGCAAAAAGCAATATTAGAGGGTATTGAAGTTTTTACACAGATCTACCTTAAGCCGATTTACATTGCTTTAGTTTATCAAATAAATCTTTTCTTTGATAAATTTTCACGAAAATAAATCTAATTCAATAATTTTTTTTTTCTTGTCCATATGTAAAGATATAAAAACATTTCTGAAATAGGTAGGAAAGTCGTGTGAGTGGACACACCAGATTTTTTATTTTTTATTTTACTACCTGGCATGCTCCAAATCTATCTTGTTCGCCAAGAGCAATACTGGTCTGGCTTGAGGTAGACCCGCCAAAATGCCAGCTGCTGCAGCCAGACTACTAGGTTCTGTCACGCTGAAGACTACCAAGTACCCATCGCCTTCACGTCGTTCCATCTGCAATTTTTTTTTTTTTAATTACATAAATTATTTATCATGACATTTGAATAATATTCAGTAATTCAAACATAGTTGGACATATTGCATTCGCAATAACGAATACAAAAATACCACAATAATTCCAACTTAATGCTGAGGATTACTGCTTGTATTAATACTTAAAAATACACTCGAGAATACAGGTAATAATACCTTCTTATAACGGTCTACATTTTACTCAGACAAAATGGAGTCAGACTATAAATTACTGTGAATTCATTAACTGTGAAGTTTTTGAATCTTCAACTACTTCAAGTTTTTAGTATTTGGGCGAACACAACAGCTTTTGCTATTACTAATGCAATGAAAGAAGTTAGAGCTTACATAAAATATTTGGATCTCGCATAATATCTTCCGGTTGGTGCAATTAGTAGTAAATGTGTCAGTTACAAACAATTTACTATAAATTATAAAAATTAACTGTACAAGTTTTTAAACTCTTAGAAAAGTAATTGGAGCTTAAAAAAAAAAAACACTTTTATTATTATTATGATCAAAAAATGACTTTCGCACAAAATAATCCACCCGGAAGCCTCTACAATACAATAAAATACATTGCTACTGTTAGTGCGAAAGGTCGTTTGTAAAAATTAAGTTATTTTACAGAAAAGCATAAAAACCAATCATTTCTTTATGATTTATTAGTCTAAATCCATATTTTATTTCCATCTGACATTTTCCAATTAGCAGACTACTTACAGCAGCACCTTTAGCGCAAAGGGAATTAAAATGTAAAAATGTTGCATACGACCTTTTGCACTAACAGTAGCGATATAGTATACATACTTAAGTATATTAAACACCTCCATATAATGCAGAAGGCGATTGATTATAATTGGTTTGGTTATTAAAAAAATATAACTTTATTCGGTTATTGTCTAATATTTTATTTTTTATAGCTAATAAATAACAAAACTCAAAAGTATGTTAATAATTGAAAAAAAACCTGATATAAAATAATAAAATAATATTCTTACCTAAGGGTAAAACTTTAAATCCTTAAATTGAATTTAATGTAGTTCCCACGCCTTTAGCGTTCTTAATTTTATCAGCCTATACAGTCTGAAAATATCTGCGAAAGACTTTATAAGGAATGATAATAAAATAATGTTTCATATAAAAAATATTCTAACGTTGCCTTCGCTGTGAATGGAAATGATTAGGAATGATTATTCTCAACGAATCCCTGAAAATGCGAACAGTTTCATTTGAATAATGGTCATCTCCGGGTTCTCATTTCCATCATTGCCCTCGGGCAGTGGAAGGAATTTATTACATGTTTATATTGTATTATTGTATACTATATATGTAATTGTTTCAATAAACTTTTGGAGGGTAAGAAAAAAAAAAAAAAAAAAAAAAAAATCATTTCCATCCATCCTAAAGGTTGGGAATTTCCTTACATTTCACCCTATAAATATATTTACGATACTGTTTAAATATTTAAATGAGGTATTCTATGTTTCTTACAAGAAACTTACTGAATTTTAATTCTGTTAGTTAGAGTTACCCAAATGCAGTACCAAGACTCAATCTGGGTCTTGGTTTTGCGCAAGAGTCTTGCAGTTACCTATTAGCTTATTAGCTATTTATTAAATCTTGTTATTTTAAATCTTAGAAAAATGCTACAGAGTAGATTCATTTTGATATTTTATTGACATAAACATAATAAAATCCAACCAATTATTAAAATTTACTTGACAATACATTTAACGAATAGTAAACAAAGATAGTGATAGGCTCCCCACCGTGGAATGGAAGAGTTGTCGAGTTAAGACAATCTATACAATATCAGCAATTATTTAAATAAAAAATCTGGTGTACCCACTCACATGACTCTCCTACCGATTTTAAACATTATCTTTTTTCATTTTGAATGTGTTCATTAATACTAACACAATTTTTCTGTAAATCGATAAGATAAATAAATAGAGTACGAATTCTTTGATGAACTAAAGTAATTTAAACGGACAAGTGAACAATTACTAAAATCAATGTATAAAATTAAATGTGCTGTAACGTTGCTAAAACATTTGGACGATTTTTTAAATATATTTTGTCGGAAATTTAATGTTTTCACTAAATAATTCTTAATAATAATAAGAATTCTTTAAAAAATGTTTCCACTGCATGCTATAGAGATGTTACCACCATTTTTCAGAATGGGGAAACCTAACTAAATCCCGAGTGAAAAATTAGAAGAGTTGAATGCAAAGGTGTATTGGTTACTAAAATGATCTAGTTTTTTTTTTTTACCTGTCTTGCAACAATTAGGTGGTCAACAGGACCGATTTTGAGCAACACTAGTATTAGTATGTGCGAGTATAATTTTCCTGACTCAAACTGAAACCTAGTTTTTAACTGAATTATTATGTCATCTTTTAAGGGAAAATAAACTTATCATAGACTCATCTTTAACAAACTAATCATTAAGATATTATTGGAAAGTCATAAGTTTCTCAAATGCCATTAAATAATTAAAAATGCAAAGCTTCATCTGTTCAGGTATCATTAAAGCAGAAAAATGCACGAATTAATTCGCGATACACCTTTCTATCAAATTATTAATCTCCCTCTAAAACTTTGTGAATGACGTCATCTTACATTCCGTGGTGCAAACCCCTTTGATCAAAAAGTTGTAAATTACGATAAGATGAAGCATTTCACGAATGTTTTATGGAAATTCTGTTGCCCTGATGACTTTTCTTGTTTTGAGGTCATTAGTTCATTTTTTTTTTCATTTTGGCCACTTAACCCTGAAACACGTTGTATACATATACTACCAGTTTATACTCATTCTGAAATGGTAGAGTTGACTGAATAATGAAGAGAAGAATAGTTGGTCAGTCAAATAAGAAGGCAAAACTAAATGATAATATTTATTTTGACATTTACCGAAATTTCGACCTGAAGTTCATGCCTTCATCAGGGCTGCCTCAAAAAAGGTTGTTGGAGAAGTGAGCTTCTTCATAAATGAATCTTGCTTCATTAAACTTGACAAGTTTAGTTTCCTTTACAGATATATCCTTTACAATCATGCTTGCCAAATAACAACAACATACATGTCAGACTGTGGCGTAAACACCATTTACAGTTACTACACCGTTTGCAACGCTATAGGTTTTGCTATTGACGGTCGCCTTCGGTGGATAAAAGGAAATAGCAAACATTGTCCGAAAAGGTTACTAATGTGCATTTACAAAAAGGTGTTTGTTTGCTGATTGACAGCTCTGTTAAAAGCCATCCTGACCTTTATTGCACGGCTAGGAAGTGCCTTCCGATACAAAAGATAGGCACAGCTTTTTTTGTCGCTCATAGCCAAAACGTGATTAGCCAAGGCTGGAGCGTAAAAGGTCGGAGTTTCGCCGAGAGCAAGCGAAGATAGCTTTCGTATGAGATCGTGAAGATACCTATCTTTGTTTTTCTTGTCAAAGGTTTGCTACGTCCACGATTGATCGACCAGGGCATCTCGACATCGTCGTTCGGTTTGTGGAAAAACAAGACCCATTTTTTTTTTTTTTTTGCTTCTTTTACAAAATCCAAAAATAAAATAAAAAAATTCCTAGAATCGAGATAAGTTATTTTAAAAAACGTTAAAACGTTTTGCTTCGGATGACGTCAGCTTCTATTTTTCTTTGATTTTATGATAAGCGTGACCGAGCTTCAACCTATTATTATCGATTTAGTACTATTTCGAAAAGAAAAAAAAAGGATGCAGTGATTCATCGATGAACTCGATCCATCATATTACGATAATGAATAACCCCCAAAAAGTTTTAAAAATATATTCCATCTTTTAAGAAAACCTAAACTAATTCTACGACGAGAAACGTGCCCATCAGTTTATATAGGAGAGAATCAAATTCCTCAGACAAATACAGTACGTTACCTGGGACTAATATTCGACAGAAGGATGACCTGGGGCCAGCACGTCAAAATGAAACGACAGACCTTAAACAAGCGACTGAAAATACAGTACTCACTTTTTTCCAAATCAAAATTGAAAATCAGACAACAACTCAATACATACACTTACCTACTCAAACCCATATGTACATACGCCTCACATATTTACGGTTCTGCAAAAAAGACGGAACATACATACGGTTACAAAAACAAGATACATTTCAATCCAAAATTATACGACTAATAACGGGAACTCCTTGGTACGTAAACAACAAAACTTTACATAATGACTTACGACAACCAACTATCGACCAAAGGAGCCGATCTCTATTCCAGATTTCATCTTAAACTACACAGACATCACAACGGACTTATTAACGACATGGCCACAGCTGACATGCCTATCAGGAGACGACTAAAGAGGAGCTGGATGAGAGATCTCCTTGCCTGAATTAAGGAGATTAATCAAGACCAGGAAGAAGTGCTGCTGGGTACTATTTGTTTTTCCTCATGCATAAATATGTCATTTTTCTTATTACAGCACTCTCTTATTGTCAAGCTCATGACAGGTGTGGATGAAAATATAAAGGGAAAACAAAATTCTGCACTATTATAAAAGAAGGCTGTGTTTAATAGTTCATGCAGATGTATTTATGATTTAACGAAAGGAAAAAATATTCTATAAAATATAGGTCACTGGTGTTTCGAAGTGAAAATTAAAATTAAAACAATGTGGAGATTTAATAGGGTGCGAACTCACTGGCTTGGATAACGAACGAATGACACATAATGAATCTGCAATCAATATCCTGGTGACCATCGTACCACAGCCTACGTTTAAACATTTATTAAGTTTATTATCATCAATTTAGGTTTCAATCGAGACCGAAATGCTTTTGTTTAGTTTTGCTGCTGCCATACAATCGAATTTTCGCTAGAATGGACATTCTAATGAAAAATAACTAAAAAATTAACTGATATTTTAGTTGATCCAATACACAATCTTTTTTTCAACTTATCAATTTTACAACTTATAATATAATAAAGCAGTG